ACTAATAATAATAATATTTTGTGCAAAGACCTTTAGCTTTAATTACACTAGCAATGCGTTTAGTCATACTCCCACCCCCAACCCTGTCTCTGCCTATGTTATATCATACTTTGAGAGCCTTTTTTAACCAAAGTCCACATATTATTTATGGGTTTTAGGTCTGGACTTTGTGCAGGCTACTCCATTATCAAAAATTTTGTATTGTCGAGCCAGTTCTTGATGATTTTCGCTTTGTGCTTGGGGTCATTTTCCTGCTGAAAACCGACTCTTCTTCAGGATACGCCCTACCATCCGCAAAATCGGGTAGGCGGGTCTTCAAAGTATTCAGATTGTCATCTTTCTCCATAATTCCAAACTACAGTTGGAACACTGCTATATACATGCATATACATATATCTAAAGAAATCCAGAGTATTATCGAAAGGTTCACTCCACCGAACTATTCCTTGCTAATTAGAAGACTTTTCTCTATCATTCAATTTCGACTTTAAAGCTATAATCTTACGAACAAACTAATTCGCTTTTAATAGTCTGAGCGAGGTGTTAGGTCTAGTGACACTAGACTCTGGGCTGCTTTTTGATTGGGTCCAAAATGTTGGATTACAAAAATGCTGCCTCTACGTGCGAAGCGAACAAAAGATCTTCACCCTCTCTCAACGCTATCGCGATCTGAATCGGTTGCTGCTTAGTCTGTGTCTCGCATTCGATGCGAATGGTGGCTGCAATCTTTGGGCATTATGTTGCTTCTGTTGTTAGTGCTGCCCGTCCTAGTCGGCGCCTTGGAGTCTACGTCGCTGCTGCTGGAGCTGGCGCAGTTGGCTGCCCGGAACGAGAATGGAACCTTGGAGTCGACGCAGTGTGTGGAGCAGCTTCGGGAGCTGCATTCCGCCTGGCAGGCGAATCAGAGCTGGGCTCTGAAAGGTAAGAGTGGAGTGGATTTGCCCAAATTGGGAAGGCAAATGAGCTGGACTTACTCCAAATGGACTTCTTGTAGCTCTGGATGCCTCTGGCAGCGGCTTCAACAACTTCATGCTGGCCAACAGCCAGTGGCTGGGCAATCGCCTCACCTGCCGAGCACTCAATGAGCCGCTGCTGCGGGACCTCACAAGGAATCATCAGCAGCTGCTGCGACTGCCTGCGCCCTTTGAGCATGCCTACAGCGTGGCTTACCTGAGAGCCAACTCCAGCTGGCAGCTGACCACGAGCATGAAGCCCAGGCAACTGCTGCACGTTGGACTCTGCGTGCCTCAGAGCTGCGATCCACAGCAGCTGGAGCAGCTGCTCGGCCAGAGCCTAGCGTCAGCCAGGGCCGAGGGCAGCTTGGAGCAGCGCATGGGGCTGCAGCTGGAGCTGGTCTACGCTAAGCGCCCAGAGCTGAGCGCTGGCTTCCTCGCCCGTCCCGCAGTTCGCTCTCTGCTGCTGCTGCTGGCTGTGAGTCTTCTGCTCGCCTGCCTTGCCAGCAGCGGCTGCCTTCCAGCTAGCCGCATCCTTGGCTGCTTCGATGTGGCCACCAACTGGCGGCGTCTCTGGCAGCTGGGCGGTCAGGAGATCGCAGTCATCAGCGGATTACGCGTCTGCAGCGCCTTTGCCTTGATTGCCTTGCATACCATTTGGTATCAATTCTTCGCGGTGAATCACTCGGCGGATCTGGCTGACAAGCTGGTCAAGGCAAGTTTCCAGATTCCTTTGGCGCTCATGATGGAGGTTTTCTTTGTCATTAGGTATATATAAAGGATTTGTATGAATGTATCTAGTGCTCTCTCTCTCCCCTTCTATTTTTCTCTCTTATCTTTGCACAAGGCAAACACTAAGCAGTTCCATCTCCTCTCATTAGCGGCTTCCTCACCGTCTCCAACTTTCTGGGCAACGTTCCACTGCAGCGCAGCATTGCCAGCGATACGTTGCCCGGCGTTGCGCGTCGTTTTCTGAGGCAAGTGGCTCAACGATACTTTCGACTGGCTCCGCTGCAGTGCATCGTTATCCTGCTGACCGTGGTAAGCTTCAAGTATAATCGCGAGGCATCCGTCTTCCATTTCGTTGAGTCCGTGGATGAGCAGTGCGAGCAGCATTGGTGGCGCAATCTGCTACTCGTGCAGAATCTGTATCCGGTCAGCGAGATGTGCTGCAATTGGACCTGGTCGCTCGGCTGTGATATGCAGTTCTATATAGGGGCAATGTTGTTGCTGTACACGCATACCAGGTGGGCACGCATACCAGGCATTGTAACATCTATTTGAAGCTTCGTTTTCGTAGGCATCCACAGCTGATCCGACGGTTGGTTCGGGTTCTACTCTGTGGGAATATTATATACACTGTCCTGCTGTTCGTCTTCCTGAATGTGCCCAATACAGTGGAGGACGGATATAGCATAGGCAATTGGGTTTATACGAATCCGCTAGTCCGCATATCGTCCTACCTCATAGGTGGCATCTATGGCTATGCACATGCCTACAGCTTGGAAGCTCCCTTTGAGACACTCTTTCCTACCAAGGCGGCTAAATGTGCACTGGTGGGATTCACTCTGTGGCTATTTGCACAGCTGCGAAACTTGGAGCTGGTCAGCCCAGCAGTCGTGGGCAGCATTGTCGTAGTTCTGCGTTCGTTATTATCCGCAGCCGCGGCGCATCTAATTTTCTGCAGTTTTCGCATCGAAGGCAGCTACAGAGTCACACGTTGGGTGGTGCGTTTCCTTGAATCGAGTTGGTTCCAGCGTCTCAGTCGGATTACCTATGCCATCTACCTGCTCAATCCAACGACCATACTCCACGTTTACTACTCACTCAGTGAAGCAATGCCATCGGACTTTAGTATTTTGGTAAGTTTAAGCTGTAAGCAATGATTTCTATACGTTATTAATTTTGCTTTCGTTGTAGCTGTGTCTGATTGTGGCGTTTGTGGTTATAGTTTCGTCACTTGCTATTCCATTGACTCTGTTCTTCGAGCTGCCCTTTAATAGTCTCACAAATTTATTTTTGGCCTCAAATTATCATAAGAATAAAAGTAATTAAGAATGGACATACATATATATTGATATCTATAGTTACATTACAAGTTTTGTTTACAAATGTATTGCAATAAAACCGTTTTTAAACGTAACGTAATGCAACTCTTGCTGCGCTAAATATGCTCGCTTTTGCGTTAATTGGACGGATACTCTGCTTTGCGCTTACGCTACTCCAATTTGCGTTTGAACAGCTGTTGCGCCTTTTCTGTTATCGATATACATATATATTCACACAAGTCGTTGTATCGATAAGATAATTCGATTATTTCATCATACCAATAGCAAATAAATAAAATGTAAGATTTACATAGATTAATTAAAATTTTTTCGTATACAAAAGGCTGTTGACAACGCCAAGATGACTTCGCGCAATCTAACCGAGGTGTTTGTTATCATGCGCAACAATGCCAGCAAGAATCGCAATCATTATGACGAGCGGGTAAGGGCCAAATCAATTTATCGTCCATATGGATGAAATGATTCGAGTGAGACTAATATTGTAATTTAACAGCGTGGCAGCGACTCGGAGCGTCTGTTGAAACATTCAGTACGCGAGGCTGAAGAGGGACTCGAGATGCAGGATGATTATGCCACCCCACCCATTTGGCTAGACAAATTCGAGGAGGCGCAATACACGATGTCCAAGTGAGATCGCCATGAATATTCTCGGAGTTCTCAATTACGAATCGCCTTGTTATTAATGTTGTATTATTGCCATTGTAGAATCAAACCAAAATTGGATGAGCTGGGCTCGCTGCATGCCCGTCACCTGCTGCGCCCCACCTTCGATGACCAAAAAGATGACGAATGTGAAATCGAAGTGCTTAGCCAGATTGTGGCCAAGCTGATAGCAAGCACCCATCGGCACATACAATGCGTCCGCTCTAGCCTGGGCGTTGGCAGCAAAGTGGAGCAGCGGCTCACGGCCAACGCGGTGCACTGTGCTCTCCTGCAGCTGCAGGATCTGACGGTCAAATTCCGCAGCAGCCAAAATGCGTATCTGCTGCAGCTCAACTCACGGGAGGAACGCTCCCAGAAATACTTCGACAATGCCAATGAATTCACCAATGTCGAGCTGGGCAACTTCGGTGGCGATGAGCCGCCCAACAACTTTGTGGACACCTTTGATAATTTTCTGCAGCCACTGGATGGCGCTGGCAAGAGCCAGGCGAACGCGTATCTCTTCGAGGACGACGAGCAGCAGATTGATGACAATTTCAAGAAGCCATTGACCAATCGCATGACACAGCAGCAGCTGCTGCTCTTCGAGGAGGAGAACACGCGGTTGGCACAGCACCGTGAGGAGGAGGTGACGAAAATAGTAAAATCCATTTACGATCTCAACGATATCTTCAAGGACTTGAGTCACATGGTGCAGGAGCAGGGCACCGTGCTCGATCGCATCGACTACAATGTGGAACAGACCCAGACGCGCGTCTCCGAGGGCATGCGACAGCTCCAGCGTGCGGAAATGTATCAGCGCAAGAATCGCAAAATGTGCATCATTCTCGTTTTGGCCGCCGTCACCTTCGTCATGCTCGTGCTGCTCATTCTAACCAAGCTGTAAAGGATTTGACCGACCCCAACGTCCAGCCAGCAAATTATTCCGTTAAATTTTCTGTTTACCATTTTCTTTTGTTAGTGCAGTCATGTGTGTATAATTGTAATTGTATTTGTGTAAAATATATATAAATTCCATTATTTATTTATTAACAATCCAAGAGCTGAATTTTATCTATAGCAAAGCTAATGAAACAGAATCCGATATTTGCTCTTAAAGTGTCCTACCCTTTCTATGCAATTCTCATGAGATCGCTAGAATACCCAAAGTTTAATAATTCCCTTAACTCAAACGCGCGTAGTTCAACTCAAACCCTGAAACAGATGATCTCCACACGAAATATTTCACAAGAGAATGTTAGATAAAACAGAATATACATACATATATTATATAACGTATAAAATGCATACATTATAATAAATTGTTTATTTTAGATTGAACAAAGATGAAAAAGAGAGAAAAAAAAATTATTAAATACGTCTTATATATAATTATAGTCTAGGTCTATGGTAGGTCCTTCCATTGTAGCCCTATGATCACAGCCTTCACATGCGCTCCGAGAGGCGAGAGGCAACGGCGCGCAGATTGCCATAAACCTTGCTTGGCGGTGAGCCGAGGATCAAGTTGCAAATGGCGCGACGTGCCAGCTGAATGTTCTTATAGCTGCCCAGAATATGGATCTTGCTGTCGGCGAGCACAATTCGGGTTTTGGTCACATTCTCGATGGTGAATTTCGTGCGTCCACCCTTGCCAGCGAGACGGCCAATGGCTCGGGATTGATGGTCGCCGCGCAGCGTCTTCACGTCTCTGATCTCAAAGGTCTCTATGAAGAGATCCTCCAGACGGAGCAGTGCCAGAGCATCGTCCACGTCGAAGCCGCATAGGAAGGCCTTGACGAAGTCAGCGCCTTTCTGCAGATTGGATATATCTGGAGTTTCGGGGCCAATGCGCAGCTCCACTTGACGTGTCTTTATATTGAAGCGTATTTGCAGTTTCATGTGCTCCACCACCGGTGTAAAGATTTTCATCCATTGCTCTTTGAGTGAGCTGTACCTGTGTGGTGGCACAGCCACCTTGCGAATCTCGCTGCGTATGCGCTTGGCTTTTGACGCCTGTCCGTGGCTGGAACGTTCCTTGCCCTCGATCCCCGTGGCTGCGTCCACCTGCATTTCCACATCTTGGTCACTTGCATTAGCGTTGCGCTTTTTTGCCTTCTTGGTGGGCCCAAAGATATCCACTTTAATTGCGTCTACTTCCATGGCTATATATTTTCTATTCGGGAATACTTTGATAGGCTTAATTCCGTCTTCTCTATTTTCGTTAGATGGCTGTCCTCCACGTGCGGTTTCAACGCTGCACGTCAATGGTTATCGAGAAGTGGGCACTCCAGTTGAGTGATATAGCAGTCAGCTAAAGAGCGTGAATAAAATCGGCCATCAGCTATCGTTACATTGCGCTTGGCGCGAATGTAACGGACGTGCGAGTTAACAGCTCAACTATCGCTACGCCATATTTTTGTTTGTTTCCATTTTGGCTTTGATGTTGTTGCCGCAAATAGCGGTAAACATGCAGCAAATTGTAGCCCAGCTAAATTGATTTTAGACTCATTCATAAAAGTGATATGAGTTCTTAAATACATACACAAGTTGAAAGAGATATGACATATACACGTATCTACGCCTATTGGGGCGTGGCAAATCGCATAAAGCTGTAGCTTCTTTAGTTCTAAAGCTAGAACGCTGAAATTTTGCACAAGGCTTAATGTTGCGATTCTATAAAGAAGAACCTATATGCCCAGTAAATTGCTAATATAATCCTAGCGTGGCAAATCGGATAATAGGCCATGAATTAATATTTGCATATATACATACATTTTACTAAATTGTTTATTGTGGATTGAACGAAGATGTTGAATGGATACAAAATTCGGAAAAATGTATTATTTGTAGTTGTAGTGTAGTGTGTATATGCAAGGTCCTTCCAGTGTATGATGTTCGCCTTCACATGCGCTCAGAGAGGCGAGAGTCGATGATGTGCAGAGGGCAAGGCAGGTAAAAGAAATTGCTCGGCCATTAGGGTAAGATCAGGTTGCGAATGGCGCGACGTGCCCTTTTTATGTTCTTATGGCAGCCCAGAATATGGATCTTGTTATGAAGTAACACAATTCGGGATTTGGTTATTTTCTCGACGATGAGTTTGGTGTTTTCCGTGTCAGATAGGAAACCAAAGACACTGAGGAGTGGTTCGCCGCTCAGCATCGTCACGTGCGGTATCTCAAAGGTTCTTATGATGAGATCATCCAATTGGAGTAGTTCCAGAGCATCTTTTATCTTGAAGCCGTAAGTGAAGGCCTTGACGAAGTCAGCGCCTCTTATTAAACTATAGAGGTTAGGTGTTTCGGGGCCGACGCGCAACTCCACATTATGTGTTCTTACGTTGAAGTGTACCATCAGTTTCATGCGCTCCACGAGCGGTACATATATCTCCAACCAGTGCCCTCTGAGTGCGTCGTATTTGTCTGAAGGCACGGGCACTTTGACCGTATCATAGCGTAGACGCCTGGGCCTTGGTGCCTCTTCGGGGCTAGAAGAGTTGCTGTCATTGCTACCTGTGGTGTAGTCCACTTGCACTTCAGAAGAGGCGTTGTCAACGGGCTCTGTGGTTGGCTCCACCTGCACTCCAGCATCTGCGGTAGTTTCATCAGCTTTGCGCTTCATTGTTCTTTCTGAGTCCTTTAAATTTCTATTCGCAAAAATTAAAAAAAAGAAAAAATTTTTTTTTCGGATTTACTTTTTCTTATTTTTTTTGTCGTAACTCGGTCGACTAAATTTTCGTTTTGACACTGGGGCTTTATGTGTGCTTCAACACTATACGCCAACTTTGATTTAAAATGCTTAGCCTACTGAGTGCTACATCAGTCAGTTACAGAGTGTGAAGCGACACGAGCTGAAGCCAACGTTACATTGCGCTTGGCGCGAACGTAACGGACGTGCGAGGTAACGGCTTACGTTTAGCGGGAGCAGCTATCGCTACGTCAAATGTATATTGGGCTTTTGTTTGTTTCCATTTTAGCTGTGATGTTGTTGGCGCAAATAGCGGTATAAGTGCAAAGACAAATTTGCGGCCAACTCTTCTTGTTTATTTGTAATTTAAGTAATGCGCTTTGCACAAGCTTCTGACAATGTTGAATTTTCGCCTAGCAAATTGCAGTCCTGATAAATAGTTGTTGTTGTTGTTGTTGCTTGCTCACTTTGACACCCCGAAAATAGACGCTGCTGATGCTATCAGGTATACTTATTGTGCATGCTGTGCACATAAATGGCCCCAGGCCCTCGACATTGTATCCAAAAATGCAAATGATAATGATGTCCCAGCGAGCAGCCGCCAGACGAGCTGCTCTCCTTCCGCTGTTGCTGCGCTGTCGGTGGCGTTGCATAGGCCTTTCGGCTGTTGTGCCCGTCTAATCCATGTTCGGACATTTTAAATACAAATTGCAGAGCTGTTGCGTCTCCCGGCATCAAATTGCTTGCAATCTGAACACACACACACAGGCACACACACACGTTCAGCATCCGGCCGAGTAGCAGTTCCAGGTGCTGGTCCATGTCCAGGTACCGTTACCTAGTTAGCTGCTACAGCATCTCTTTTTACTCTATTGGCAACTGATTAGCATTTAAATTAAAATGTCGCAAAGTGGCCTTAACAAAATGTTGCTTATCGCGTATGTGAGTGTGTGTGTGTATGTGAATGTGTTAGTGTATGTGCTGCAATTGTATACTCTTTCCAGTAGCTATGCAAAAAACTGTTCATGCAAGCAAAACGTATAAGAAATATTTGACAAAATAAAGCAAATGAAATAACCTTTCAATAAATAATTATTCCGAAATATTTTGATTTATTGAATGCCATAAATTCTGTGCGAAGAAATTGCAATTAAGATAAAAACAATTCACAAACGTTTTAATGCATATAAAGTCATAAATTATGTAGCTTACTAAATGTACTAGAAGAAAATGGCGTAATTTACATACATACATATATGTACACATACTTATAAAAAGAACGTAATATACATACAAACGTATTACGTAGTTAAGAGCTTTGCGCTGGCCTTGCTTGATCCCGATAGCAGATCAATCGATAGTTTGTTAAGGTATCGCTAGCAGTGGAGGATCCGTGCAGAGCATTTATGCGTTTGTAGCGTTGATCAAGTAATCGATAGTTGGCAGCATTATCACTAGCACAATTCTAGAAATGCAGAGTATTTATACGTTGCACATATCGTTTCTTTGCTAACTATTTCCAGCGTATGCATGTACATATGTACACATATGTATGTTTGCATGCACATACATATGTACATATGTATGTGTGTGTTTTCATTGTAGCTTATTGTCTCTGATGTCACCTGTTTATGCCGCTGCCGCCGCTGATGCTGATGCTGCTGCCGCTGTCAGTGTCGCTGAGATTGGCACTCGCTTCGGCAATTGCTTTTGTGCCGGGCCACTGCAAATTGGAGGCAGCATCAACAGCAGCAGTAGCAGCAACCAGAGATGCGGATGCGAATGTGGATGTGGATGCGCATGTTGGATGCGGATATTGTGCTGACTGCTGTTGCGCTCACTTCAAAGAGCGCAACGGGCGGGCTTAATTATGAAAATTAATTGTATTCGAATGAATAACGTTAATTGATTTCCCTCCCACTTACTCTCGCCACTATCCTCGCGCTCTGTCGCACCTGTACCGACCTGTAACACCTCCCTCTGTCTTTATCACATTAATTAATTACTCCATTTTATATTGTCGAGAGTGAAAACAACGCGAAATCAAATACTCGAACAATTTTGTCCGCTTTTCGAGGTTCGCGTTTCGCTTTTTGTGCGCCATTTGCAATTGCCGTTAGTTAAACGATTCAGTCACGTAATTCATTTGCATGGCGCGCGTGGTCAGGATGCGATATCCTTCATCGCGGTCCAGCCCATCGGGGAAGCTCCAAATTGAAGGGTAGAGTGCGAGTGGGCAAGACAATAAGAGGGGGGACAAGACAGTCAGGGGAGAGAGTGAGAGTGAGAGGGAGCGAACGTTACTTACTGATTACA